GTAGAGTTTCCTTGCCGCGTACCTTGGTGCTGATGAACAGCTCCTCCCGCGTCCCCTTGCCCTCGTCTAGCCACTTCTGCACGGTCCTGCCCACGATGGCCTCGTTGCCGTAGAGGTAGGCCGTGTCGATGAAGCGGTAGCCAGCCTCCAGTGCGCTGTCCAGCGCCCGCTCCAGTTCCTCCTCGTCTTGTGCCTGGGGTCATACGTCGATAAGTCTTACAAATCCTCCAGTCCTCCAGAAAACATGAACGGTAACCGAAGGGTAACGCGCTCGCCACATACCTGCCAGGTCCCAAGGCCTATCGTGGGCATGGGTGCTCCCGTGTGAAGAGTTATTGTTTTTGACATGTTGCTTACCTGCAGGAGTCAATATTTTTAAGAGGTCAAGGAGCCAATGGCTCCCGAATTTTAGTAATCCAAGCTTAGAAGCTGTGATAACTACAATGAAAACCACACCGTGAAGCACCGAGTCGGGTGAGAAGCCTGAGGTCCGGGACGTTGCTTTGGTCACTGAGCGCCTCGCTCGGAGCGGACAGTCCACCTCACCTAGGACTGAGGGGCCCTCACGCGATTATGATTGACCCGGGACAAAGTGTGATTTGGGGGTTGGCGGTCATTTGTTGCATGGCCTAGGCAATCCCCGGGAGCGAGTCGGCAGGGAAGGGGGTGGGGGAGAGAGGGTGGGAGGAGGCGCACTGTCCGAGGTTGAAGGAGAGGAGGAGGGGGTAGAACGGATTGTACAGCGGCTAAGAGGAAATCGTGTCAATAGGCCAGCATTTACGGGGGTTAATTTGTTTGCAATAGCTTCAATCAGCGTCGGACAGTAAGTACTGAGTTAGTCATACTCTGCAATCTCTTAAGTCAACAACATTGATTCGAATCGTCGGTCTGTATTAATGAGATTTGTAAGTAACGATGCATCATACTTTTATTTTGTGTTACGATTGTGTACAGAAAAACAAACAAACAGGAAACTGAAGTTTCATTGCTTCAGTTGAATGACAAAGACAGTGGGACTTCTGCTCCCTACATTAAATTAGTACAAAGTTTTGAGGGCCGCATTTCAACTTGATCGGTATCTCTGGGCGTTGTCGATTTCGATTAATAATCGAGACGTGAGGCAGTGGGGCTCGTTGAGTCCCATTGGATTGAGAGGTTTTGTTCGGTGTTCAGTCGAATAGCAGCAGCCCTACTTCTTCAACAGGGCAGTCCAGGGGTATTCAGGGTGTTTCTCCGATCTGAGGAGGATTTAAATCAACAATGCAGCAGAAATACAAAATATAAGGAGAATTCATCGACAGGCCAGCGCTATAAAAAGTCTTACCCTCCGATGTGCTTCATATCAAAGAGCTTGCCGTCCAGTCCTTTGTCGAGAGCATCCAGCTTGGCCATGTCACTGTCATCCAGGGTGAAGTCAAAAATCTGTCGACAGAGAGAGGTCATAAAGAAGTGTGACTTTGCCTCGCCGACACGCCTCTGATTCCCTCTATCTTATACATACGTCGATGTTCTGCTGGATGCGGTTAGGCTTCGAGCTCTTCGGGATGACGATGATACCCCTCTGCACCGTGTGCCGCAGCAGCACCTGTGCGCTGGTCTTGTTGTGCTTGGTGGCAATTTCGTTGACGTCGGCGAGACTCAGCAGGTCAGGTAGTTCTTTGCTGCGGACAAGAGAAACGGAATGCATTACTTGAAGTGCGTTTCTTGTCACTGCAAACAAGGGAGGGTTGTAAGCCCGACAACAAGAACAAACTAACGCGAAAAGGCCCGGCCAAAATTTTCGGGGTGGGCTACGGACTGCTGGGACTGGGTATTCATCGATCCACAGCTCCATGCATGTTTGCGTATGACGTATGAGGGCAGGGGGACAAGATTGAGGCGTTCCGGGGTCGATTATGCCTACCAGAGGGCCTTACTTGGGTGAGTCTCGCCGAAAAGTGCACTGCTAAATGTAACGTGGAGTTACAAGAGCCTAATTGAGCTGGACAATTATCATGATGTTCGCCGAACAACAGGAAGTGGCACCAACACCGACTATTAACACGTTCCTTGCGGCGTGACCACTTGATTGATTGATTACTTAGTGACGATAACAGCACAATAAAGCTATGTACAGGGGACCCGCCGGTTTGGGGGTCGTGTTAGATATTGTGGCCATTCAAAGTCTCCCGTCTGGCCGGTTCTGTGACCTGGTTGGCATCATAGCTCACTTCAAAGCGTCACGCGAAACATGAAAAACATCCGGACATCGATCAGAGCTTACCCGGTGATGAGGGCGAGCCACTTGGAGCCGGGGCTGCCGAGCGGCGAGTAGGCCGTGACGGACACGCCGTTCTTCTTGCAGAAGTCCACGATGGGGCGCTGCTGGTGGTACAGGTGCAGCTCGATCTGCAGGTTGGCCGGCGGGACGGCGGCCTGCTTCATGATCCGCTCGATCTGCGTCTCGTTGAAGTTGGACACGCCCAGGGCCTTGGCGCGGCCCGCCTTGTGCTCGGCCTCCATGGCCTGGAACAAACAGGAGAGTCGCGTATTTTGGTTTGCGAGCGCGGCCGCCGGCGGCGTTGTTCGCCCTCGTCGTCTGTACCCCGCTCCCGTCGCACCTTCCAGATGGCGAGGTGGTCCGTGGACAGGTCGGTGCCATCCTCGTTGATTTTGCCGTTGTCGTACGCCTCGCGCTTCACGGCGAAGGGCATGTGGATGAGGTACAGGTCCACGTAGTCCAGCTGCAACTTGGCCAGCGACTGGTTCAGGAAGTCGGGCACGTCGGCGGGCCTCATGCCGTACACGGGCAGCTGCAAAGGAGACAGGGCGGATGCATGACACGGCCCGCACAAGCTGCCTTTAGCTGATCAGGCACACGACTGGTGTCCGTACCTTCGTGGTGACGAACAGGTCCTCCCGCTTGACCTTGCCTTCCTTGAGCCACTTGCTGAGCACTTTGCCGATGAGGTGCTCATTTCTGTAGATGGTGGCCGTGTCGATGTGGCGGTACCCGCTCTGCAGCGCTGCGTCCAGTGCGGTCTCGAGCTCCTGGTCGTTTGTCACCTGGAGCCACAAGACTTCATATTTCAAAACTTTATTTAAAACCAGTTTTCAAGCGCCACCCTTGCATCTCGGGTCACGCCTTCCCCACCAACAGCGTGCTATTGGCTTGCCTCAGGGGTCGTCCAAAAATTACGTCTGTTTTCCCCAGATTTATTATTTAAATTGCGGGAGCTCGGCGCCTGCGAGACTCGGGGTAGGCCACCCCGCAGTACACGCATGCACTGTAAGCAAGATGTTGCCTACCTATCAGACGTTATGAGAAAAAGCAGAGGGCTAAACCTGACCGTTTCGTAAACGATGGACGACTGATGTTATTTGTGGATGATCCCTTCATGACTGGCAGAGATGTTGTTTGAACACGAATTCAACGTGTTGCGCCATCAAGTACTTTCAGGCAAAGGGCCTTCTGGCAAGCATGCGTGAGTCATCTTACGAGAGGACAAGCTGTGGTTTTCTTCAAAAGCAGCGAAAATATTTGGCATGCTCAAACCCATAGCGAGCAAACATTTCCACGCGGAGGGGGAGGTGTTTGGCTGGAGGCGGGCGCGCCTCCGTCACGCGCACCGCGCCGCCACTCATCATGCACTCGAACGGCCCCCGCGTGCCGCCTGCCGCCATTTACTGGCGTTTGGGGCGAGCAGCGCGGCCGCACTCTGAGCACTCACCTGCCAGGTGCCGAGGCCGACGATGGGCATGTCCCCGCCCGAGCTGAGGTGCACCTTGGGGACGTCCAGGCTGCAAGCGCACTTTATTAGTTACGATACACGAAGTGGGGTCGGGATCAAGGGAGAAAAAAAAGAAGAGAGGAAAAACAATGTGTAGCAAGAAGGGTGCCTCTTTCGAGAGAAAGATGAAACATGAAGGTGTGCCACGTTCACGTAGAGGGTTAGGCCTGGCAGTCGGGTAGGCGCCGGGCTGGTCAGGCCGCCCAGGCAGTATGGGGCCAACGACCAGCCGTCCCCACCCTGACCTGGCCACAACGGCTCGACCAGAATACTTCTACTCACTCACCAAGTAGCTACGGCCAAGGCCGCCGCCAACACGAAGCTCACATGGGTGAAGGCGCTCATCGTGTCCTGTGGGAGCAGAGAAGGGCGGTGAGGGTATGTTCACGGTGGGGGTGGGGCAGGGTATGTGGAATCGACCTGCGGTCTGTGGCCCCTGGGGGGATGTAAGCCGCAAAGCACGGAAGCACGGAAATCAGTCATTATTAATAAATGTGAATGTCATACGACAAAAAGTGTTTCAGGTGTACAGAAATACACTCAAGCGGCTACAGTTCGGGGCTGGTGCTGGTGCTGATCACCAAAGGGGGTAAAGGGGGTGCAGAGCACACGGTACTTACCAGTCCTGGTCCTGTCCGCTGGAGAGATGCGGTGGGACTGTGGGGTCCGCGTTGGCACGACCGGCCGGGCCGGCCCATCTCACCTCGGCACGGGCCCCGCGGTCCAGGTCCGTCGTGGGTACGAGGAGCAGAGGGGGAAGCAGTACGAGCCGATGGCACCTCCCTCCCTCCTCCACTCGCACTTCTTGACTCCATCTCAAGATCTCGCTCTCGTCCTCTCCGCTCCCCCTCTTCCCCACTATGTCTCTATCCCCTGACTACTCCCAGCCGTCAAACAGCTTCTCACTCGTACCATGTTATCACCGCCACCGGTTTAAGGTTGGGCGGAGGTGCGCGCGAGCACTCCTAAATATTATTGTTTTACCCCCAGCCTCGCACACGGCAGTAAAATCAAAGTTGTGGGGAGATTCGCCAAAAGGCTCATATCTCAAAAATGATTTATCGATTTGACGTTGTAGAAGTTCAAATCATGATGTTTATTCCGATCTCACGGCGTCCTCAGTCTCAGTTTGGTACATTTGCTTAAGGAAGGCGTAAGGTCTCCTCTGAAAACACAATGATGAGCCACGCTTATTATTTTCAGGTAGCGCGTAGCGTTATCCCGAGCGGATCCCCATACTGCACTTGAATCGACATCGTAACGATGTCGAAATGGTGAATTGGACGTCGAAACCATCGTTTTTGATGCTAATTTCTGGGATTATCCATCATCCCCAGGTGCCTACCTGGGTGCAATAAAATTACGGTTGTCGTTCCGTTTGGAACGGACATCGTGGGATAAGTCAGACATATCATTGCACCCAGCGGGCACCAGTAATGACGATGACGAATGTCTATGTCTCTAGGAAAAGGTCGCACGTTATCCGCGAAAACAATAAAATGTGCGTCACTCCGGAATTATCTGTCAGCTCACACATGAACTTGGTTTTTTATCCGTGCTCTTAGTCGAAAATTAGAATCGGTCGATTATTGATCTTTACGGCGGCATTTAGCGCAGCTCTTCAGGTTTTCTGGTGAAGCAATATAGCTGCCTAGCGGAAACGTGAACAACGTTGTTCGTCTCGACGTCGCACCGTCGCGTGATATGTACAGTCCAAACAAGAAATTCTTCCTCAACCAGCGCCAAGAGAAACGAAATAGTAATAATAAAACAAGGCGAGCGTCCACGACTTCTGTATTTCAGCCGGAGACCGTAATTCGCATAGACTTCATTCACGGCGGCACTGGACTGTAAAAACTTATTGTGAAGTGACAACAAATATCGAGACAAAACATTCATCTCGGCCTATGGAACAAATGAGTCGTCACATGTGTGATGACTCCCTTGTTTTACTGATAATGACAAATCAGTCGTCACGCTGCATAAAACAAATCATTTATCTCCGGACTAATGTTTTGTCACATGACTGAAGATTTGTAAAGTCTTGTTTACAGACCACTTGTCACTTCACAAATATGTTGTCACTTGATTGAGCAGCCGTCACGCAAACCACTGTGCGAAACAGAAGCCGTTGGCTTTCGCTGACGACTCCGCATGCTTTCCGTCAGTATATATTGGCAGCTTCATTTGGCTATACTAATGTGTGACGGGGTGTTCACGTGCGCAATGCACTCTTGACTATAAAGTCCGAGTCTTGTCGAAAACGGATGAAGAGTCTGTTCTATCAGAAACAGATTTTTTTGAAATTATTTTTTTTACTTTTTTGGCATGTGACAAATTATCCGTCACTAGATTGTTACTCTTTCACGTGACGACTTATCAATACTTTGACGAATTGTGTGACAAGTGACAGTGCATTTGTCACGTGACGAAGTATTTGTAAATGGTCTGTGACGACATATCTGTCAAACCGATTTAGGAGAGAGAAAATTGTGGAGTGACGAAGTCACTGGATACAAAATTGTCCTTTCCCGTTTAGAGTGAAGGCCCGCGTTTTTTGTGAATCGTTAATCGTCTTTAAGCATTGATGAGCCAAAAAATGCGCCTTATTCAACGCGCAGCGCTGCTTCCTCCTGGGTAGTGCGTGTATTCCGGTGTATTCCATGCTAGCAGGTCAAAGCAATATTTTTGAACGGTAATTATACTCGATACTGGAAGGTGTGGTTCCAACGGTGAACAATAATAATAAATAATTTTTAAAATAAAATTAAATAAAATTTATACGACAGAATACATAACATTGTCTTTAAGCGTATTGGTTGAAATGCGTCATACAGTAAACACGAAGGCACAAACGTACAATAAAATATCACAATCATTTCAAAGTGAGTAAACGCCCAGCAGTAATACTTTTGGTTCAGTGCAATGTAGGTGCGGTGCGTCGGTGTCGCTCGCTCACGGGTACTCGTTGAATGGGTACATAACGTGGTCCTTCGTAATTCTGCGAAACACAAAAGTGGTCTGTGTAATAACTGCTGCTACGTAAAATTACGGTTTCAATACCGAATAGATCAATTTGAATTAATGAACCATAGGCAAATGACTCACCCTAGGAACAGGAAATCCAAGATACGACCATCCTTGCCCTGGTCAAGCGCGTCCAGTTCGGCGACGTCCTCGGGGCTCAGTGTGAAGTCGAAGAGCTGGATGTTCTGGATGATACGGTCCTGATTGGTAGATTTAGGGATGGCTGCAATACCGCGCTGTACGATGTGCTTGAGCAGAATTTGTGCAGGCTTCTTGTTGTACTTGGCCGCTACCTTCGCCACCACAGGGTTGCTGATAAGGTCAGGCATCTGGATGCTGCTCGAGGCAAAACACAAAGGAACAATAAGCACCAATCCCGCAATATTAAGCTACAAAAAAATCGCAACTTTTTGCGAACGGCAATTTTAAAATTCTTAAAATAAAAGTAAGACAAAAAAACACAAGATTAATGTTATTCTTAAGAATAAATTCACATTTTAATTTTATTTATTTCCCATGTACTAGTGGGATCATAAAAGAATGCCAATATTTGCCGTTACGGAACTGCTAATTTCAGCATATGCAAGCTCTCATAGCGCCTGATAGGTAGGCAACATATTGTCTGGAATGTATGCGTGTACCGCGGGGTGGCCTACCCAGGCTTTACCAGGCGCTGAGCTCTCGTACTTTACCGAAACGAACGTACTAGCTGTGCGTTTTTTAAGAGTGGAAAGCACTCTGTCCCGCATATGTGCTTAACCGCTATCACACCCTCAAGTGCCCTCAAGAAACGCCGCTGCGGTTGTTGCATGCCCAACTTGGTCCCCGAATTCGTCTTTCTCCAGCTCCTGGTGGTACTTACTTGAAGCCCTGCTTGGCGGCGAGAGTGCCGGTACCAGGCGTGCCGATGGGCGAGTAAGCCGTAACCACGATGTCGTTCTTCTTGCAGAACTCCACCAGCGGGCGCTGCTGCATGTACACGTGCAGCTCTACCTGCAGGTTGGCCGGCTTGATACGGCACACGTCCAGGATCTGCTGGATCTGCCGCTGGTTGAAATTCGAAATGCCGATGGCCTTGGCACGGCCCGCGTCAACCTGCGCCTCCATCTCCTGGAGAAGAACAGGAAACGACAAGTGGGCATGTGAAAAGTATCAGCCAAAGAGGAGCGATGCAAGGGGTGGTCGGGGTGAACGTAAACGCCACACGCCTGATAGATTCTTCTCTCTCGCCTGCAGGAAAACTGGTACCCACCCTCCACACGGCGACGAGATCTGCGTCCGGGGACACCAGCAGCTTGCCGTCCGGCCCCTTGGGGTGAAGGTCATCACCCACGGCATCGAAGGCGAAGGGGGCGTGCACCAGGTACACGTCCACGTAGTCCATCTGCAGGGCGGCCAGCGACCGCTTGAGCCACTTCTCGGGGCCACCGGGGCGCACGCCGGGCAGGGGCAGCTTGGTCACCATGAACAGCTCGTCGCGCGTCAAGTTGTCCGAGTCCATCCAGCGCTCCTTGATGAGCTTCCCGATCACGGCCTCATTCTCGTACGCCGCCGCCGTGTCGATGTGGCGGTAGCCGGCGCAGAGGGCCTCCTCCAGCGCGTCCTCCAGCTCGCCTTCCTTGGCCTGCGAACAGATGAGCACAGTGTGACACTCCCAACGGCGGCTGCCATGGCGGTGGCTGCGCGCTGGCGGCGCGGAGCGCCCGGCGGGGTAGGCAACCCACCACCCGCCCAAGGCGTGCAGTGTGCTGCTCGCCGGTCGGGCCGGGCGGCGGCGCCAGAGCCGCACGCAGCGAGGCCTCGCCTCGTGTGTCGGCCGACAAAAGGGGGCGGGCGATCTGGGATGATAAGGTTATTGACCAGGCTGATTGGGGAAAGGGCTCGGGAGGGTAGTGGACTGGAGAAGAGTGACCGGCGCGCATAGCCCCCCTCGCCCCGCCCCCTCCCATACACTCTAGGGGGAGGGCTGGCCGGGCCGTCAAGGTGTTTGCCAACCCCTAGCTGACGTGACGGCCCTGACCCGGAAGGGCTTGTGGGACGGCCAGCGAACGCAGTGACCTTCACATCGTCTATCGACACCCGGAGGCCTGTTCAGGTGGAGAGGCAAAAAGCCTCGCAAGACGTCCTCTGGTTTCCAGGCAGCCAAGCATCTCTTGTGGGAGAAATGCGTGGGGACATCTTGGTTTTTCCAAAACACCCCGAAAACCAGGACATTGTTTCGTTTTAACCGTGCGCGAAATGGTTCAGCTGTAATGGCCTGCCCAAAGGAGTAAATATCAGCCATCCGCTAATTTTTGGCTCCTCTACTTCAGCAATACCAGTGTATCTGAACAAGCTATTAACATAAAGAGCTAATATTTGTTTTTACCTAAGGCCATACGAGCTAATCTATTACAGTAGCTATTTTAACGAATATTGTTTCCACTGTGCTCTTCTCAAAGCTTAGCGAGTCTGTCACGTTTTGTTCCGCGTTAACCTCCGATGCGACAACAGATTTCTCTCCTAGCTGCGCCGCGGCGGGTTGGGGAGAAGGGGAGGGGGGAGGAATCCAATGGATGAGTTACGCCCTCCAAAAGACGACGCACACGCACTAGGGCTTTCTGCCTTGCCTACTCATCTGAAACTCCCCCGGCAGCGCTTGCTCCTCAAAAGTTGAGAAACATCGCACAAATTGCGGACGCGTCTGGAAAACTATGATGAAACCTCATAATTAAGATACATGGGGGGACGAGCCTCGTCACGGACATTGACTGGCATATTTGATGCTTTGAGGCAAGAAATGGGGCTTCCCTAAAACGCTGGGACGAGCTGCGTGACGCGCCTCTGCAAGTCATTAGCTCACCAGATAGGAATTTAGTCGTGCCTTTCTGAGCGCTACCATGCGTCCGTACGACAGTTTCCAGAGGAGAAAAGCACCCGTGGCGTGGAGGGCGCCTTCCGCGTGAAAATGTAAAAAAGTAATAATGTCATTTTGTGAATAAGGTTTGACATCGGCTACATAACGTTTTGCGTATGTACACCAATGCCATTCGGTTCTCACCGTCACAAATTGCTTCCATTCATTTCACGCGGGTTTTGTTCCACCGACACCAGTCACCAGTCCGTCCCGTCAATCAGAGCGAGGGACTTCCCCTCCCCTCTTATCTGTTCGTGCTTCGCCGTGCGTCGTGTCCTTGAAAAGCAGAACTGTCCAGTGGGAGGGGGGGGGGGGTTAGCAACAGAGTTGGGGCCAGGGGAGAAAGAGAGGGGGGGGGGGCTTGTCCAGCAGAGTACAACGTTACGGCGGGGGTTTACAGTCATAAAGTTGAATATTCAGTGGTGGGCTCCTGAAGCTCAACTGAGCACTCTACTGACCCACACCAAAAGAAAATTTCGAGCAAGATCCTGCTCGCTATTTTGTTGGACCATTAAAAAAATTAGTATTATAATTTTAATTTATACAAAATTGACAGCCAATAAATCAAGCGCCAGACCTCTAAAAACATTAGAAAGGGTTGAACGAAAAACACCAGTATTCGAATATACCGGTAGATAAGGCTTAGGTACTACTTAGTTTTTTAATTTCCCGGTTGTGACGGAAAAGTTTGACAGAGCACTACCAACATCTCATAATAAAAATTTCGCTTACGCACTACATAATACATCGTTTCAGTAATGACAATTAAAAATTTGAAATATTTAAGAAACACTTCTCTCTTGAGATTGCCTAATTGAGGTCTTACAAAGATTTCTTTGTTTTTGACACATTTATTATGCAGAGCGTCTCGTTTGGTCAAAACTGCAATTGCTACGGCGCAAAGTATATCAAATTTGTCAACGATCCTTTGCGTAGTCGAATACAACCGCGGCCATACGTTATACTTGTTTAAAAAGAGTGCAGTCTCGTACAATACAATGTAAAATAAGAGAAAGGTTAAATCAAAAGCTTAAATTTTAATGACAAAACATAACCTCTTTACCTAGCGGTCTGAAATCAACAGGAAAATCTGTTTAAATGAGGCGGGAAAACTCACCTGCCATGTGCCATAGCCGAGGAGGGGCATCTTGGCACCATTGTTCAAAGTGGCATACTCTGGGCAAGCCATGGCTGAGCTTCTTTGACGTTTGTCGTAAGACGGGCACGAGTGAGACTGGTCGGGTTACGGGCCGCCGGCTGACTAGTGCTGGGCGAGGAGCGAGAGTGAGCTAGACTCGACCACTCCCACCTTCCACACCCCGCCCCCCGGCCGCCCAGGCCCGGCTCGGCAGGCACCACTGGCGCCAGTGGCGCAGCTTTGTGGTTGGCCGAAGAACTATGCATTCGAGTGCGTAGCGGGCGTAGCGTAGGCCGCAACTCTGTCTCGTTCGCACCAATCTGAAGCCAGCCGCGGAGGGTTTGAGGAGAGAGAGAAAGAGGCAATCCGCGCGGAACTTCCCTGTCGATCGGTTGCCCAGGGCGATGTCGTGGGCGTTGCTCGCCCCCCGTTTCCGCTTCCTTTTACTTTGTCCTTCCCTCCCCCTCCTTCCGAAGTTCCGAAGACTCAAGCAAACCTCTTAACGGTGATCTATTACATGAGCCATTAGTTCCCCCAAGTAGAGCGTTTGTCCTGCAGGCAGAATGTTGCCGTTGGTGCTCGGCCTGGTGGTCGGCTCGCGTCCACTTTTAGGGCCCATGTTATAGAATTTACATGCAGAGCGGGGAAGTCTGTACACTCCACTCGGCAATTTCAAGTGGACAAAACAGTGTATCTTCTATGTCTTGAAAGAGGCTGTACCGCGCAACAATGTTTCGAGTTTGCGCACTTCCTCCCCCTGCCCCGTTAAAGTCGATATGGTGCCATGTGCTGGGCGAGTATGCAAACCCGCTAACCCGCACGCTGCACTGTTGTAGCCCTGACCAACGGTACAATCCTTGGGTCATGTGTCACCTGGTTCAGGTTTTCTCTCTCTCAAGTTAAGTCTTGGTCGAACCCGCGGGTTGGGGGCTGGGGGGTGGGTCATGAGTGACAAATGGAAATGATCAGATGGAAATACGAACTATCACAGCCGTTTATTTGATAAAGAATGTATAATTATTGACCGGCATTGGCTGCCCTAATATATATAGTAGTGTCCACTCCACATACTATCACGAAATATATCTTTGTTTAATGTCATTGGAACCCCTGCTCGGAGAAAGGCCATGTCACGGTGTTGAGCTAGTTATTGCACCACCATGCGCGACATGACGTCGCTCTACAGAAACGAGCAGAAAAGGAGTATTCCTTCGACGTCGACCCATGTGCTAAAAAAACGAGATCTTGTTTCGCGTTGTGAGATGAGAATGAAAGTGAGAGAGGCTTTCTACACTCTCTACGTACAGGTATGACCTAACAATTCCGATATTTTTGAAGATCAATAGTCAACCTCGTTGTAAACAATTTGGCCTATCGTCGCTCATTGTCAAGATACAACAAATTTCACTCTTATACCCGCAAGAATGAACTTGTACATGTTCGCAAAAGGAAACGTTGGAGGATGATTGTTATTAAGCAAAAATATCGGTACTGCAACACCACACGCGGGTGTATAGAGGGTGGAAAAGCCACTCACCTCACGTTAAACAAGATCTTGGTTAACTTTCGTGTATCAGGGCTGCGACACAGCAGTATATGCGGGTTGGCCTACTCGCTGCACCCGTAAGGCGCCCTGGCCCCCTAGGGTAGGCAAACCTGCAACACTTGTGTGTCGCAGCCCTCACCACACGGTACGCAACACACCCCTTTTCCTGGTGTGAACACGTCCCTTTTGGAACTCTCCGGCTGCTGCACAATCCGTGCTTGTGCGTCAGCGTCGGGATTGTGCGCAGGCCGTAGGCCGTTCACGTCCACCCAGCCAAGAGCCACACTCTCATTATGGAATAAAAAACAATCAACGCGGGAGCAATGCAATGCCTTCCACAGCACCACAACCACAACAAACTGGCGTCAAAATGAAACATTTCATGCCGTAATGTTGCCACGAGTTTAACTTTGGTCGCTGCAGAGACGATATTACGACCCTTCTAATGGGTGAGATGGAGCTAGCCCTGCCCAGTGACCTGCACTGCGGAGTTGCAAAAGGCGCTGTATGGCCCAGGCGGTCGTCGTCTCATAACGGACGTCATTGCTTTTGCTTCTTCTGGCCACGCCCCCTCAGCAGGTGAACGCGTCGCACTGGGCCGCAGTGCCCTCGGCCGCGGCCCTGAAGGCCTTCCACACGGGGTGCTCGGGTGCGGTGGGGTTCGGGCTTCGGAGCCACCTGGCCAAACAGAGAAAAACACCTTGATCAATGAGACTGGCGGGGTGAGTCCCGTCGCTACGCGGACCGATCGAAAACAGGCGGAGCGCGATCGAAGCAGGGCTGTGCGTTGGCGCTGTGCAGAGGCGTCTAGAATGGTTAAAATGTTAAATGAGGGCTCGATATTACGAGGTATGAACACACAAACATACAATCAGGCTCAGTCGCTGACAACGGGTTTAAACGGATCTAGCGTAACCTTGTGGCCGTGACAGGACAAACTATAGGGCTTTAGTTAGCACATTATTCGTGGAATCTACGCGCTTGATACGGCGTCTGTGTCAGGTCTGCTTTCTCTTGATAACGCAATTGCGATTGCGAAAGTGTTGCCCAATGATTAATCACAGGGCGGGACCGAATCGGAAGCTGGGCGCCTGCGAGACTCAGGGTAGGCCACCCTACTGTACACGCATGCACTGCAGACAAGATGTTGCCTACCCACCAGGCGCTACGAGGGCTTGATGGCTGAACTTGGCAGGTTCGCAACGGGCGCGGGGGTTGACCGCGCGATGTACGCACAGGGTGGCCCACAAGGTCCACAGACCCCAGAAAATGTCGTAGCTGTACGGTACCGCATGCAGCCGTGCGGGCGGGATTGCCTGCAGCCTCTCACCACCAGCACGGCGCCTTTTGGCCCATTGCGAGTAGGCAACGTGTCCACACTCCTGAAGCGGTCGCACAGTAGAACTTTTCTTTTCGGGGTTTGAGGAGGCCACCGCCCCCCCCCCTCCCCCCGAGGGTCGTCGATTCGGACCTTACCGACATCTGACAAGGGAAGGTTTTCCGGTGACACACTCAGATTTCACCCCTAGTTTAGGTCTGGCACTGGCTTTAGCTGCCCGTAGTGACTTTGAAGGTCGTTTTACCCGAATTTAATTGAAAATTCGCCAAATTTATAGCCTGATTATCAACTTTACATGCACATATCTCAAGAACCGTTTGAGCTACAGCGCCCATAGGAGGGAAATCAAAATTTAGCACGTTCTTCGCTTGTAGAAAATTTGAACGAAATCGATTAGGGTCGCAAAACGGGTCCCGAGAGGAGGTTGCGATCCTAGAGCCCTTTTTGGTGACCCCCATTGATTTGATTCAAATATTTTTCATGGGAAGTACTATCTGAGAGATAATTTCCTGCAAAATCTGGGCGCTGTAGCTCAAACGGTCCCGGAGATATGTGCATGCAAAGATGGCAAAAAAAGGGATGAATTTGGGAAATTTTTGATGAAATTCGCGTGAAATGAGCTCCAAACTCCCTACGGGCAGCTTAAACCAGTGCCAAACCATATCTAGGGGTGCATATAACTACTCCTTTAAGTGCCTTTGAAATCTGACTGTATCACCGGAAAACCTTCCCTTGTGAGTAGTGGTGAATAACGCTTGCGCTAATGCACTGACCTGAGGACGTCGGGCGTGCCCGGGTAGCTGCTGGCGTGTCGGCCCATGAGGCACGCGGCCCGCTCCAGGCACTGCGCGCGGGTCACGCCGTCCACGATGACGCGCGCCATGCCGGCCCGGGTCAGCCCCAGCAGGTTCAGGATGATGGGCAGGTTCTGCACGACCACGCGCACGAGGCGCGCGCCCACCATCACCGCCATCGAGGCCGCGAAGTTGACGATCACCACCCGGAAGCCGGACAGGACGTTGCCGAGGAGGGCGATCAGAGATCCCATCGGCATCGGCGACGCCGTCTGTTCGGAGGGAAGCGCACGAATAATTAACAGAGTGCTGGGTGCAGCGCGAGTCTTTCTCCACCCCGCTTCCGAACTCGAACAGTCTCGCGCGCTACAGTGTACATCGCGGGCTCGTGTACCCTCTCCGCCCGTTAGGCGCCACGGCCCCTGCCGCCGAGCGAGTATGCAAGCCCGCAACACAGCGCAGGGCGTGCTCAGAAACACGCGCTCCACGAAGGTGCTCGTAACTAAACCGAAAGTATATACTTACTTCACTGACGTCCGTGCTGCTCCCGGCCACCGTCGACATGGCCGTGTTGGCGCTGCTGGCCGTGCTGGTCGTGCTGGCCGTGCTGGCCGTGCTAGCGGTGCTGGTGGATCCGGCGCCGTTGGTGTAGGGCGCGATGGCCTGCTCCAGAGCGGCCCACGCTTCGGACGCCACGCTCTGCGCTGCAGCTGGCTGTGCCACCGGGGCCGCACTGCCCTGCTGGGCCAGGACCCCGCTGACCACGGTCGGGGGCACGAACAGCGGGCCGGTGGGCGTGGAGGGCACGGCGGGGAGCGGCTGGGAGAGCAGCCATGGCGGGATGGGCTGCACGGAGCCCATGGAGGGCATGGAGCCCATGGAGGGCATGGAGCCCATGGAGGGCATGGATCCCATGGTGGGCACGGACGGCATGGAGAACATGGGGCCCACGGCCGGCATGGAGGACATGGACGGTACGGTGGCCATGGTCATGCCCCCTTGCATCGGTCCGCCGGGGGCTGCGAGGCCCAGGGCCGTGAGCAGCGCCGCGCTGGCACTGAGTTGGCGCGGCGGGGAGGAGGCGGCGACGGGAACCGCGGCCATGGGGTTGTAGGGCAGGCCGTTGTTCGGGTAGGCGGCGGACTGCAGCCCCGCCGTGAGGAAGGGGTTGAGCAGCAGCTGCAGCAGCCGCAGCGCGCCCGCCGTCAGCACTGCGCACAGGGGGATGATTTGGTTGAGCTCGGGGCGCGACGCTCCCAGACACCACCCGGCCACTCGACGACTCCCCTCCCGCACTCACCTGCCGGATCCAAGTACATGCTGGTGCGTGTGCTGCGTGCCGCCCTTCGCGTGAGACTGGTGCGCCACCCTTCCCCCGCACCTGTACTTATAGCTGCGCTCGCTCCCTGTCCCGGAATGCAATTAGGAGAGGGTGCCTCTGGTGCCCGTCTCCCCGGCCTAGTCGGCCTGCACGGCCACCGGGTCAGACGCTCTGGCCAGGGCTCCGGCCAGGGCCCCGGCCAGGGCCCCGGCCAGGGCCCCGGGCCAGCCAGGGTGGGTGATGGCGCCGAGGTGGAGGGTCGGGCGCCGCGAAACTAAAGCCCAGGCAAAAGCTGATGGTGGCGTGCAAGTTGGGCCTCGATACTCCTTATCCCCCCTCTAAGCTCCCTCGCCCATTCCGAAGCACAAACATGACGACGTGCGCGACTTTTTCGGCTAAAAACTTCCGCAGACGGTTGATCCCTGGAGTAATACAGCATGCACGTGCGCAGATTTTTTTTCCCCAAAAGAGATAGGAGAGTGACTAGGGGTGGAGGGGGGCAGTCTTACGGGCGGGGAAGGGCCACCCTTGTGATTCGGGCAAGGACAAGCTCCACGTACCGGCAGCAGAGGCCGTGGCCATGGCGTCTTATTATGTGCTAAGCACAATACGTTTAGTGTCCATACCAAAGATTTTTCGTTGCACTCGTGGGACGTAAACGCGGCATCCCAGGCAAAGGGCAATATCTCGTTTTGAGCTAGGACAAAAGTCGTGCTCATTTTAGACGAATGTTTAGTTTCCGAAAAGTAATAGTTTTCTCAGTGTGCTGGCGCACCCCGCTATTCCCCGCAGGGCCGTCGTCAGCATTCGCGGACGGCGGCGCTCTCCGCGCTTGGACAGTCAGTCGTTTAGTCAGGAAAGAGCACCCGAACGCAGAGCACGGCAGTGCGATGCCGAAAGGTGTGCGGCGGTTCCTTACCAGCGCAAGAAAACGTCATCGGCATTACGGAAAACTGAAATTGCGCGCGACGTCGTCGACCGGGGAGTCAGGGAGTGACCCTGCGCTCACGGCTACGTGCAAAGCTGTGCTCGGTACAGCAGTACAAAGTGGGTAGAAACATTCGAAGTCTTCATGCGTGTCGTCTAGGGTTGCATCTTTTATCTCTCCCTTCTTTTCCACCCGCCCTATAGGCTACGTGTAGAGCGGGTATCCCGCACGCTCCAGGTGGCTGATTAACCCCGCTCACTTCTTTAGTTGTGCTGTACACCACGCACGACTGCCGGCGGGGCGCCGTAGTCGGGGGCGGTAGGCAAGCCCGCTCGCACTCTCGCGTGGTGTACAGCATAACTACAGAAGTGAGTGGGGTTTATCAGTCACCTGGTATGCAGGATTTGCCCCGAGGGTGAGTCACGCTACGCATTTTTTTTTTTTTAACCGAGCTCGTACCTTTGCCTCCGCTTCGTCCACCCCTGCGTGGTCGAAGTGCGTATATGGGGCGGACTCGAAGACTCCAAAGCGGCCCAAATACAATCAATACTCTCCGGTTTGCTTTCCACTAATAATGAATGAGCCGTGAGGTGGTAATCGGCTTTGACGTGCGTGAGGCGTGCGGTGGCCCGGCCCGGGCTGCGCCCCGTCACCGGCACCGTTACGCTTGGGCCAGATATTGGCGACGGGTACGGTACGGTTGGCGGCGGGGCGCGCGACCAGTGGCCGAAGGGCCGGCGGGGCCGGCAGGGAGCGCCGGGTGAAAGTAAATAGAGCACAGGTAAATGTGTGATTGGTGGGCGGAGCGAGCCTCGCTCCCACTTACGGCCCTTATAGGTCTCCTCGGCCATCGGGCCTGGCCTGTATACACTCGGTGGACCCCAGCTGGGCTTTCCCTCTTCCGTATCCTTTTTCATGTATTCAGAAAAATGTCCGTGTCTGTTCATGGACTGTGATCAAAAATTATTGTACAAAGTGTCTTACATCAGTTTCCAGCTATGGCTGGAAATAACATACCACAATACCCCCCCCCTCCCCTTGCCCACGGAGTTGCCTGTGCGGACCATAAATATGCGAACAGAACAGGTATAAGAATGGAGTTATGCGGTTATAAATATTGTAGACATTTAGGGAAATTCCCAAGTCCCAGTAAACACGAAAAATTCACTACGGGCCCATTTTCAGTCATTTGCAGTTTTTGATTGACAATGTCGCCAATCCCTTTCTCTGACTAAGTTTTGACTAGCTAGTGGAAACTTTGCAGAAAGAGACTCACTTTCGCCGTCAAAAACTGAAAATGACTCGGTATTAGCCCGTGAGTTGCTCGGATTTTAGTTTTTGGTTCGTTTTGTCTTGTAGCCTCCTGAACTCCTGCAGTTGAATACGTTGGTTCCCGCGCAACCGCTAGGCAATACCCGTTGCGAGGCTAGTTGGCAAACCGTCTGTCTGTCTGTCTGTCTCTGTCGGCAGGTCGGTCTGACATTTGGTCCAGCGGAACAAAACGGAGTTCTGAATCGCGGGTTTAGGCCAAATAGACCTAATCTCGACTTGTCGTCAGCTGTTGTGCATCAGTAACGTCACCAGGTTGAAAATGGCTTCCTTACCAACCGGTATACCCTATAGTTTCACTTTATTGGCTAATTTGTTGATAGGCTAGGATTTCTGCTAAAATTTTTCTTAACAATAATCGTCAACACCCATAGATGCAGAGACTATGTGTCAATTTGACATCAAGGGCTGTCTCTGTTCTAAATTTACTCGTCTTCATGATAACATCATCTGACGTCCTCATAACATCATTTTCTGTCGGTCAAAATTACTAAAATATTTCACGTGATCATCTTGACAAATTTTTGTAACATGGGTATATTTTTCTTCAAGTTGCTCTCACATTCACATTTTTCATGTCATGTTGCAGTTCTGCAAGGGAAACCTGTCAATGAAGCCATTAAACCACTCCTCTGGCTGCTAGGAAAATGGGAATCTTCAGAAGGGAATGGGTCCTTCCCCTCCATCTCACCATTTAAATATGGTGAACGGATTGAATTTTACTCACTAGGTCAGCCAATGGTTAACTACTCGTCCTTCACATGGCATCTCGAGAAGAAAAACCCTATGCATCTTGAGTCAGGCTTCTTACGAATTAACCCAGGAACTCAGCAAGTGGCTTTCATGCTAGCACATAATTTTGGTCAGTGTCAATGGAAATGGTTTATGAATGTCTCAAAAGAATATTTTGAACAACATATGTCTTTTTGAATAGGCCTGACAACAGTGGAAGAGGGTGAAGTTGTTGACCACAAGATAACTTTGACTTCTAAATCTGTTTCAAGAATGTCCTGGGCCAAAGGTCCATCTGTCACAAAAGTAAGGAGAGCCATTGTACGTCTCATTTTATAATAGATGAAAAATTCTAATCCACTGTGTATGCTCTTGTTTCAGATTTCACGTAATTTCTCACTTATAGATGATAATACTCTGGAACAAGTAGTATTCATGGAAACTGCAAATACTCCTCTTTGTGAACATCTTAAAATTGTGTACAACAGAGTGTCATAATTTTTGAGGTATGTAATGGTTAATCATAATAAATAGACAAAATTTGATAACCACATCGTCAGAATTTATTAACATTATAATTGATAGAACTGTCAAGGAACAGTTTTAACAAGTCCAAATAAATACTAAAATTTGCCTGGGTAAAGAATAAAAGTTGAATAGGATGGCAAAATAAGTTGAATACATTCACAGTTCAGTCTCACAGAAGATGGTGGAACCACCCATAACAAATTGAGAGGAAAGTAATAAAAAAAATAAGTTACAGAAAACCAACACTTAAAATAAGAAAAGGTTTTCAAAAAAATAAAGAGTAGAAAATACAACAGCATACCATTTATGATGTGTTAAGCTTGATTCAGAAACACTCAAAAATTTTTCTTCAAATAAGAGATAAGAAGAAATTTATCACAAATCCCATGGAAGGCATTTGAAATCTAATGTCATCTGGATTGCAACCAAACTGTAGATACGGAAGTACCATTAATCTTGACATCTTTAAACCCTTTTAAGGTATGATGTGCTTGGAACCACAATAAACCTTGAGGCTCATCAGGTTTGGATTCGATGACGTGTTCAACATGCGAGTCATTCTGATCTTTAGGTTTGTCACTGAATATGTTAGTACCTCCACAAATACACTTGGGCAAACTAGTAGGTGGCATCAATCTAATTATAGCATGCTTCCCACTCATGGGAATATTGTACCGCTCCTTAGGAGAGAACCCACATGAGACAAGATCTGTATTATTCTTACGTAAGAATAAATACATATTTGTAGGTGATAAGGGCTGATTAAAGAAAGTATGGAGCTGCTCTGATGATATTAAACATCTGTAACAATAAAACATATGGATTGAATAAAAGTTGTATGTTTACTTGAGGCACTGGCCTAATGCCAAGCAAGGGAAGACAAACCTAAAAAGCTCCAGCAAACTGCTTTGATGTGGATGCTTAGAATCAAGATGACCATGAAGGAGAGGAGGATACTGGAATCTATAGACATCTCTAGGGCTAAGTGGAGTGGCACCAAGAATCATTGCCACCTCCTCAACCATACCATTTGCGTTACAAATTTCTTCTTCGAGGCACTGGCAAATAAAAATAAAGTATCAGGAGCCAGGCCGTCTGCGGCATATAAAGATAATATGATAATGATCATTTAATACCTGAAATGCTGTTTGCATTGACTCCATTATTGCCTTCACTTTCTTAAATTCAGTCTCTGCTTGAACAACTTGACAACTCCGATGAATCGTCCTACCTGACGTGTTATCAACAGGCTAGTGAAACATCAAATGCAATGATTAATGGGATAGTAATATGAGTGGTACGTCATGCATTCAATTAAAGCAATACGATCGACTGAAATGTTATCGTACCTGATCGTCCGCATTAGTTTCTAAAGTGTCTTTCCTTCTTATGACAGACTGAAGCTGTTTGTAGGGAAATGGAAGCTGCTGTCTTTGATAGGCAATATGTTTAAAAAATTCAATGGCAAGATGAGAGCACATCGAAGCAGTCAGCACATCTTTAAGGTTAACGTCAATTAAAACTGGCGCCGGCATTTTCTCCTAAATATTTAACGTAGTTTGACGCCAATTTGACAAAAGTAAACAGAGATCTGACGCTTAACCCTCAAATTCTTTTAGGTGCACAATGTGAATGTGTATCATCTGATCTGACAACATTCAACCCACTCCCCTCCGCCCCCCACCGAAGAGAAGGCAGCCTGCTTCCGAAACGAGTTGAGTTGACCGACAAGCAAGACGACCCGTCAATTCTAACTTCGTTTCCTTCTATTTTGTTATTTTGTTTCCCAGCATTGCGTCAATTACAGAATTTGAGCCTGTCGGTACTATGTTTGGCAACACTGAGTGATATTGTTTTAACGAAAGAGTGTGGCTGGTTGAGTATTGTACTAGTTCTGTATTGTGTACACCCACGTTTTTAAGGGAAACATGGCGGATAGTGCCAGTGAGAGTGACTCAAGTTCAATTGATGGAGGCCCTATAATGATGCCTCCGTGTCCAGTAACGCGTGAACAACTTCAGAAAAGAATAGAATCTTTGTCACAGCAAAATCGAGTTCTGAAAGTTGAGCTGGAAACTTACAAATTGAGGGTGAAGGCTTTGCAAGAAGAGAACAAGGGGCTTCGTCAGGCATCAGTCATTATTGTAAGTTTTTGCCATTCTTTCGCCTTTTCCAAATTCAATAAGCAAATATAGTTGCAAATTTTTTATTTGGTGAAATCAAATTTTTCTTAATACCTCTACTTGGAAGTCATTCAGTCTTATAATCAGCTGTATCATCTTGAAGGAAGGTTAGAAACACTTCTAAGATTTGCTCACAATTTTGCTTAACTGGTGCACTTTCAACCCGTGCAATATAATGGTGCCTCAGTTTTCTGTTGTTGTTGTACTTCTTTAAATAATATGATATGCCTAGCCTTCCTGTGAAGTTTTTATTTACACTGATGACAGTGCACTTTAACCAAGCTAGAGGATCATGGATTATCACTTACAAGAATTGTCTCCAATTGTTTTCTTTAGCATCTCTAATGTTTTTTAAAATTATTTTATCACTCAATATTCATGTTTTTTTAAAACTTGCCATGATTTTCTTCCTACAGCAAGCCAAGGCTGAGCAGGAAGAAGAGTTCATAAGCAACACACTGATGAAAAAAATCCAAGCTCTGAAAAAAGAAAAGGAAACATTGGCCCTCAATTATGAACAAGAAGAAGAATGTTTGACAAATGATCTTTCCAGAAAATTAAATCAGGTCAGCATAATTAATTTTACCCTGGGTTTGTATTTGAAATTATTTATTTGTGTACTTTTCATACAGCAATGTTTTTATTTTGAAACAGCTTCGTCAAGAGAAGTGCAAACTAGAGCAGACACTGGAACAAGAGCAAGAATGTCTAGTAAACAAATTGATGCGGAAAATAGAGAAACTGGAAGCTGAAACATTAGCTAAGCAGAGTAACCTGGAGCAGCTACGCAGAGAAAAAGTTGAACTAGAGAATACCTTAGAACAAGAACAAGAACTTCTTGTCAACAGACTCTGGAAACGAATGGATAAACTTGAGGCTGAAAAAAGGTTGGATAACTTTTCTTCAACATTTTCATGGATGTAATATTTTCTCTGTTAAGCAATTTTCTCATTAGTACTTGTATTTCTCCCTAAGATCATTGCAAATTAAGTTGGATCAACCTGTGTCAGACCCCACTTCTCCAAGGGAAATAAATAATGGAGATACTGCAGCTAACCTGAGTATACATATTCAGACTTTACGCAGTGAAGTGGATAAGCTACGCCGGCAATTATCATTTGCTGAAAAGGAACGTAAGTATCTGCTTACTTAAGTTGAACAATCTTTTCAATTGTTAGTTTTAGCTCAAATTTTTGATAGAAAAACAGTGCTATCCTCCTAAATGTTCTAGAGTTTAGACTTTATATTTTCCCTTACTACTATTTCAGACACTGAAAAAATGCAGCATTATGTAAATGAAGAGCGTCATATTCGAGAGGAAAATTTGAGGCTTCAAAGGAAGCTCCAACTAGAAGTTGAGCGTAGAGAGGCACTTTGCCGCCATTTGTCGGAATCTGAGAGCAGGTTAATATCAGTCAAATCATGCAAACCGTTGAATTCCTTGAATTCATTGTAATATCTACCTATTTCTAAATGTTTTGTGAAAAAATAATTACTTTTTGATTTGTAGCTTGGAAATGGAAGAGGAGCGCTATTATAATGAGATGGCTGTTTCTGGTGGGAACATCCGATCTCGAACATTGTCCAGTCCCATTCCTTACAACCCATCCCCTAGCTCTTCTCGTCCACTTAGTCCAGGTAAAATTGTTTTTCTACACTTCATGATTTAATAAAAATTATTGTTTGATTATGACATGACAATTAAAGTTATAATATTTTTTTCTGCTTTTAAACATTTTAGGAATGACATTAGTTGGCTCAAATTCAAGGGACAGCTTCTCAGGTCCCATGGGCCCTGCTTGTGGAACAGGACTTGGCCGCTGCTATGCATGTGGTCAGCCAACATATCCCCATGTACCTGGCATTGTGCCTGTCACACCCATTCCGCTTGCCCCATTGCCCTGCAGAGACAGCATGGTGGGGGGCTTCTTGCCCCGTTCATCATCCCCACCCGCACCTCCACTTGCTGTGAGTCCTGTAAGTAACTTCTAACTTTCAACAGTCATAATGCAGTTGTATGTGCATGTCAATTTTACTTTTGCTGAGTCATTTATTCATCCTCCAGGGTATGATAGGTCGAGTGTGCCAGCGCACATCAGAAAGGTTCATCAAACCAGCGATTCCATCTGGTGCCGGCTCGCTGCTCAGTGTAGTTGGAGGGGCCCCATCTATTGCGGGTCACAACCCAACAGCTCCGTTGGCATTTGCTCCTGCAACTTCTCCAGCTCCAGCAATTTCTCCTGCACCGGCAATGTCTCCTGCCTCAGCCATGTCACCAGCTCCTGCCATGTCCCCATCATCTATGTCGATGTCACCTGCTCCTCCTATGTCCCCTGCCTCAGCATCATCTGCATCTCTATCACCTGCCCCAATGGACATTGGAAGGAGTTAGAGGTATGAGTCAGCAACTAGTTTTTGGTCTTTTTAGATCATCCTATATTCTGTGATGTTACAATCAGTTTGACAAACTGTTCATTTGAAGTAGTATTTGATTTCAAATTCTGTTATTACAGTGTTTCTAAATCTGTGTTAAAATTTTGAGTCAATATATATGTGCTCTGCACCAAATCTTTATTCTGATGTTTTGAACTTCAGTTCTAACAGGGTTAAGAAGTTTTCACTTGTAATTCAAAACAATGTATATTCATTCTGCCCAATTGTAAATTGTTATTATCTAAAATAAAAATGAATATAGGTATTTGTTTTATCTTACAAGGTTAAATTCTCCTATTTGTGGCCAAGCCAAAGTAAGTGTTATTTCAATTCTAGGTCTTTGTTTGGTTTTTCCTTCACTGGTCAGCACATACAATTTATGTGTGGTTTAACATACACCAATATTTCTTTTGTGTGCATTACACAAACTTATCGTTAGACTGATGATACTCTCAAGATAAAATGAAGTAATCTGCATAGCAGTTGTGCTTCTTTAATAGTCAGGAAAGAAATTTGTCTTTTCTTTCACATACTTGCAAATGTTATCAAACAAGGATAATTTCAATAGCTTCAGCTGCAGTCGACATGCTGTCATAGTTGATATCCCCACTGATTTCCCATTATTGTGTAAATAAGCAGCCTAACATCACTGTCAGCTGATGATTCTAAATCTGGAGTTGTGGGACAAATTTGTTTGGTTTGATATTTGTTTAATTGTAATTGTCTAATTTGTATTTTGTGTAATATGAGTGTGCCACATCTTCATTGGACAATGGTGTTGCTTAGCAATTTGTTGGAATTTTTTGCGTGCAATGTGTGCCAAATTGTATTTCAGTCTAGACCTGATTTGGTTTCTTATACTCCTTGATTTCTAGTTTGAATACCCCTGGATGGTATTCTCCCGTCAATCCAAGTAATTGTGCTATTGAACCCAGACATTCAGAAAGGTGTAGAAACAACTTCCCTAGTCCCCCAAAGGCCTTTTCTGTGTTCTCATCTTTGGGGAAATTGAAGTTTGAAATATGTGTTAAGATATCTAATTTTGTAGAGATGTTGATTAAAGTGATGCAACTTAAGTTCATAGACAAACATACCTGGCACATAAAGTTTCAGTTGTGTATTTACCAAAGAAGATTGCTACTAATTTAGCAAATGGTAACATCTAATATTGACAAAAACGTCATTATTGGAAAACTATATACGGCACATTTCTTACAGGCACCCAGTGAACTTTCCTTGTAGTCTGTTTTGCAAGACTGCCATGCACAACCTCCTCTAAATTAAAACCAGCTATGACTAGAAGTGGTGTTGAGAGTTCTAACGCATCTGTGTTATGTTTCTCTTAAAGTCTGTGACTTGCCTTATTACTTTTCTTCTAACTGAAGGTGAAATTTGTATTTTTCAATTTAAGAGTATAATTCTTATTATCTGTATATGTTGTATTTTGGGATCTCTAAGTGCTGTTCTTATATCTCAGAGGGCATTTCTCATTATTATTGAAGCCCTCGTGTATGTGGTATGTGAAAGTTATTTTGTTTTGATTTCTGTTTGAGTGCATGTGTTGAAAACAACAATTAATGTTTACTGTGTTGTTTGCCAATACTTTTTATTCATCACGAATATTCAGCGATATTCAGAATATTTGAACCATGTTTCAGTACTTGAGTTCTTGACTGTTTTGTTTGGTATCTCATCTAGGGCTGTATGATAATGACTGAAATGTGGTGTGGGTGCTTTCTCACAGCGTATCTCATGAAAAATGAAATATTCTGACTGTTACTATTTAAAATCAGAATCACATTATGTTTTTCATGTATTTACTGTGGGGAGGGTTACATTTTGTCAAAAGACACATAGCCTCATTCAGTGCATACATCAAGATTCCCTAGTATTAGTTTTTCTTCAGGATGTATGGTAGAAGCTGTACATACTGCATAAATGTTGGTTGTACTTGCAATAAGGGTTGTAGTAAGAAGTCTCACTGTGTTTTTGAAAGAACAACAGTTTATCTACTAATCTGAGAATTAGTTGTCAAATCAATCATGTGTCATTTGCAAGCATTTTTGCAACATATTTGTGTTTGTAGGATTGTAGGACCTCTTGTGGTTGAAAAGGAAAAAAAAATGATCATAAAAATTTGGGAACTTTAATATATAAATAGTTTAACTTCAGTTCCTTACAAAACTTTTTTGCTGAACTTTGTATGTACAGCTTAATGCATATTGCTATGGGATACGCAGCAATTACCCAGTGTTGTTGGTGATTCACATCAGAATGCTGACTTCTGAGATGAAATTATTATGTTCAAATTTTGCTGCCAAGCCGATTCGTGGTTAGAAATGATCATCAAAGGTACTACAATCACTTCTTCTATTTTTACTTGTGTCTTCCGTTAGATTGTGATTGCATTTTGACATCAGCAGCTATTTACTACTTCCTGTTTTTATTATATAACTTGAAAAGCTCTTTTATTATAATACTCTTCTTTTCCTCTGAGTTGTTGAAACAATCCAGTTAAACTTATTTTCAAATTACTAATTCGGTTGTGAGTACTGATACTGCAGGAGTCATGCAGTGTTTCTTATTATTAATTCTGCACATTATTGGACTTGCTACCTAATTGATAATTCTCAGTCGTAATTCAATAAACTATGGAATTTCTAGTATATACATTTTTTAATTTCATTGCACAAGTTTACTTCTTTTTTAATCTTAAAATTTAATCTTGTAATGTTTTACTGTAGGGCTGATTCTATCCTGTATTTTGTAAGTTACAGGGTAAGGACAACAAATTACACATCACAATATCTCCTTACTCTGCATATTACACCTGAAGCTCAAAGTTCACTTTAGTACAGTCTTACAAATAGTTGACTCATGTTCACAACCTCGACATGACATATTCTGGTGAGACAAACCACCATGAGTTCTGTTTGAAGATCATCCTGGCAATGAGCCCCATGTCAGCAGTGGGAGAAATAACATGAAGGTGAAGGTGCGAGACCGAGTGGAACGGCGGCCAGTGGAAGCCCAGCCGGACATCAGCCGGGTCGCCACCCTGCTCCCTGAGCACCTGGTCAGCTGCTGCCAACATCTTCTCTAGCAGGGGCTTGTGGGCGCTCGACATAGCTCTGGCATCCGGGATGTGCTCTCTGGAGACCACTAGATAATGGTGCTTGGCGGCTGGTTTGATATCTTTGAACACGACCAGCTCGTCGGACGAGTACAGCAGTTCGGTGCCACTAGGGTTATCTCCGCAAATCTGACAGAAGACGCAGCTGTTGAGGGACTTCCCTGCCATGGTATGGGTAGAGACGGACAGGCGACGTCTTGGAACGGGAAAACTGTGAGGATGCGGGCAGGTCACGCAGTGGCCTCCCCGGAAAACGACGTTTTGCAGCCTCAAAACGTTCGCGCAAAGTATTGTCAACACCACACACCACTTCATGTCGTCAGTGGAGCGTTCAAGTTCATATTGCATTTCACGCGAATTAGGATCCATAAGGTTCACAAACGGCACTACATAACACTCTGCTTTGAAGGACCATTGGCTCGAATGCTGTGAATGAAACAATGAAGGAAACAAATCATTTGTTGTTTGTTGTATCTTTTTCAGACGATTTTGCATGGTTTTCAGCTTCTATCCGACGGAACAAATACTATTTCCCAGTTCAGAGTGGTGGCCAGAATGAGTAGCAGACGGTTCTGGAACAGCTGAGCATCGTAGCAGACAAAATAAAAAAATATATAACCATAACCAGCACAAGAACTCCCTGAGTGTTGACAACAAATTTGTGTCAATTCTACATCTTCCAGTTCATTGAGACTTGTATTTATTGTCATTCAAATCCATTGTTTCGTTTTGAGCCTACACAATTGCCACCATGGCTGACGAGGCTGAGCCTGAAGGAGTAACTGACTCGCCGAAAAAAGGTAACCTTAATTTGACGTCTCATTGGTCATTAGTATAGGTTGTTGTAAAATGGTGAAGCTTCAAGAGAAGTAGTTATGACTATCTAGCATCTCTCTCAGCTGCTGCTGTTTCCTTTTTGTGTGTGTGCATCTTCACTCGTCTTCACTACTCTAAATCCACTCATATTATATTTTTTACGATGGTACATAATTAATTATTTTACATTTGTATATTTTTGTTTTAGGCCCTACCCTATCAACCAGTACAAGTAGTTTTGAAGCTCTTGATCCACATGACCCAAACCTCAGTCGCCTCGCTACTACTATGTTCCAAAAAACTGCTGATTACTTATTTGGAGAACTGACTGCAACTCAAGTGAGTTTTTAACTTCGTGCTCTCATAACTACTCTCTTTTTTATCTATTAACTTTATTCTTTTACAATTCAGGAGGACTACCGACTCCTAGAATCTATGAATCAAGCAACTATTGCCAAGTATTCTGATATGAAACAGATATCTGGAAATGTATCACGTACCATAACAGAGCTAAATGAAAAATGTGAGTCAGTTTTCTATCAACTGTATTTGCTTGACATGCATCTCAAAGTTCTAATATCTAATTGAAAATTACTTCTTTTCCTCTTCTTGCAGATATGAGTCTGCAGCCTTATTTGGATCAAATTGATCAGATAGAAAGCAGTGTTAACAAACTGGAACAGGCTGCATACAAATTAGATGCTTACAGCAAGCGTCTAGAGACTAAATTTAAGAGCCTGGAGAAACGATAACAACAGATGGTGTGACAGTTGTCATTTCATTCCCTGGAAGTTTGTAAGACCATGTTTGTTATTCTATGCCACTACATATTTTCCCTCTTATATTCCTTTTTAAATCAATCAACATTATTACATAATTATAATTTTTTACATGTCCCATCTAGTCAGTCGGCATTCCTAAAATAAGAACTTTGTATAGTTAATCATTATTTTCTATTCGGTTCTTTTTTATCAATGAATTTCTCAACTTAAAGTAAAATGTGAAAAACATATTTTATGTCTAGAAATTATAAATAATTCTATAATGTATATTTTCCTAGATAAATTGTGAAATAAACCGCATATTTTTCACAGTCTATTACATGTTTTTCTTTTAAAATGGCTGCCACACAACCCTCATACCATCTTCTGTCATAGGCCACACTGGTGTTCCTCCAATAGATCCACCACTGTCCCGCCTTTGGACTTGCTGTAGGTTTTGATCTCCTTGATGTTCTAACCCAAAAATTTCTTCATCACTTAGTTCAGCCTTGTGGGCATAATTCCATGGAGTCACTGCTGCTGTTCCCCCAACGGCAGGTTCACTGGTGAAATCCTTGTAAAGCCCTGTCACTTTTTTACCCAGTACTCGGGCTGGTTGGGCAGTTCTATGAGGACTCCAGTCTTGTCTACTCTCCTCCACGTCAGACAAACGGCTGTGTCTGTTTGTTTCCCAGCTCTTTTGGGTGGGCTGTCCGTTAGCTAAAGATATTTGGCTTATTCCTTTCTCTGGCACAAGGTTAGGATTTTGATTCTTTCTGGTGGCCTGCACTTTTGTTCCTGGAGATGGCACGAAGACTCCTTTATTGGGTTCTACTAGATATCGTATTGTTTCTCGGCATCTGAAAAAAAAAAAAACAGAGTCTGCACAGTGCATTTTCCCTCACATTTTCATTACAATGTCATGGTTCTTACCTGTATCCTAATTTGTCTGCGGTGTATTCTGTTATACGAAGAACTCCTGAATCCACATAGCCATAACTTCCGTGAACTCCCCCATCTGCAGTGCGTGTTTCCTCTCTGAATGATTGATGTTGAAGCAAACCTAAACATAAAAATTAGAGATAAAATCATATACTGGCAAACTAAGAAGAAAGAATAACAGGAGAGGAGATTGCACAAAGGTAGACTGAGAAAATCTCGGTACTCAGTGGGATCGGCAGAAATGCGCAACACGTGAGTTAAGCGGGCTTGCCTACCTACTTCGAATGAAGGGCGCCGCACAAAGAACATTCTCGGCACCTGAGCATAATGTGGGTGTGCCGTTTGCATCAAAAATAAAATTTTCTTAGGCGATGTTCCCCCCAAGAAACAAGGATTCGACAAAATTACACCACAGTCAAATTATCACAAACATTTAGTCGTCTTGACTGTCTAGAAAATGAAGACAACATGATGACTAAATTATGTCAGACTGACAAAATTTCATACAATTACGATGACAAAATTTTGACAAATGTGTCGCACTGAGATGCCACTTTGACACAGCCCTGTCCCTTTGCGGTTCCCCGAGGCGGTGTTACCTGGCGGAAACACTGAACTATTTCCCGCTGTGCCATCACACGCGAAAGTATTTTGAATTCGTCACCACCCACAGAGTGTGGTGTGAGCCGTACAGGAGTCTTATATGCGCCAATCACGACGATGATATAGTGAGACCAGCCTAAGGTCGCGACTGAAGAAGCACAGGCGGTATAGGAGTTTGTGGGCTAGAGGGGGTGAGGAAAATCGCGATCTTAGGCTGGTCTGCCTATAGCGCCTGCGACGCGCTGGGTAGGCCAACCCGCCAATCAGCTGTGTGGAGCCGGCGGCCCAACCTGGTCTCCCAAGTGTTGGGCAGGACAATCAGGTCGTTTGGCGCAGGGCGTTCCCTCGCGTCAACGCGAGAGTAGAACCATTGGGCATGGCCACCTGTACAGCAACACACAGCTCCCAGCAGACAGAGTAGGCAAGCCCACGCAGTACACCTGCGGCACCTGCGGCGGGGGTTGCAGGTCTCCGCCTTTTGCGACCTGTACTTGACGTAAAGTTTGCTTCCCCCAACAGCTTACCGGTGTCGTATCCGTACTTGTAGGCTCCACTTTGCGGGTCCAGCGAGTAGAAGTACTGGGCCTGGCCGCCGGTCGCCGGGGACACAGCTGGCACTGCGGCAACGGCCACGGCGACGAGCACCTGGTGCACCACGAGGGCGTGCATGGCAACTCAAAAGGCCTGCTGGTGGCGAAGGGTTCCGGGAGACTGAACTAAGGTCCACCGTCCTTGCTCGGGATGTGGGTCCTCCGTCCTCCAGATCCCTTAAATCCACTCATATTATATTTTTTACGATGGTACATAATTAATTATTTTACATTTGTATATTTTTGTTTTAGGCCCTACCCTATCAACCAGTAC